TAGATTGATTGGTCGCTCCAAACCGTAGTGGTCTCGGGTCTGGAACGTGAACTGCAGGTCAACGCCAACTATTGTGGTCGCCGTGAGACCCTCCTTTTCACAGAAAAGAAGGATGGCACCCATCGTCATGTCGTCGTCGAAGCCCTCGAAGACACCACCTTCTGGATGAAGAAGTTCTACTTCAAACTTGAACCAGCTTGTGCCTGTACGTGCCTCCATCAAGACCTTCAGCGTCAGCATGTCCTCAAACTTGCCCTTCAACTGATAGACCTCGTCATCAACCATCACGATGAAAGGTCTGTCATCATCACCTCCATCGCTGTCTCCTTCATCATCGCCACCGTCATCACCGGGTTCGTCTCCACGGTCATCTCCATGACGAAGCGACTCAGACGGTTCTCCCTGCTGTTGCCTCTCCATCTTGAGCTCCGCAGTCGCGATGAAGTCCTTGAGTTGCTTGTTCTCATTCGTCAGGCTTTCAATCTGAGCCCTCCATCGGTGAGTCCAATGAGGAGCTTTCTCCTTCTTGGTCTTGGACGTTGCGAGGCGAGAGAGAGCCATTGCAAGGAGATGCGTCAAGCAACCTAATCGCTACTACCTACTCAAATCAAAGCCTCTCGGAAACAACTCATCGGTCAAATCAGGTCAAGCTCAGGCACAACTGCTGACAACAGGTTCAACGTGTGTCTCATTTTCAGCGTCTGGCATGGATGGATGCTCTGTTCAGGTCGGGTATCCAAAGCGAAGCAATCCAAGGCAAACGACCATGTACATATTTCTGATGACATGTGAATGCTTCGCCTTTGTTCCCTCCAGAGATTAGGCACAGGGTCAAGGACTTTCGTTGAAACAACTGTGAGTTGCATATGTATAAGCACATGACACGAAAGAACACTTTACCTTGACACCTGAGAGATGCTTCATGAAGGAACTAACTCAGTCCTCGTCATCATCAGTATCGTCATCGTTGTCCTGGTCCTCGTCTGTGTCCTCGGCCTCGTCCTGCTCGTTCGGCATCTGGATGGGATGGGGGAAGTTACCCTCATTGAACTGACTCATGTACATGACGCCAACGAACGGGTTCTGCAACAGGTGCTCGGCGTTGTACAAGAAGGTCCTGGCGTGTTTTGTCAAGTGCATCTGGCGAATATCCACCATGGCGAGGTCCCTCACGGTCTTGGTCTTTGTCTTTGTCTTTGCACCATCCAAGGACACCTCCTGGTAGAAGCCCAACTTCTGGCACTTCTTCAAAATCACCCTCCTCAGCTTGCCGTAGGTCTTGCCCTTATCAACACGGACGGAGTGGATACTCCCATCTGGGGCAACGAAGCGAACCACCACCATGCCAGAGCGTTTGGCCCTGTTCATCTCTTCCTTGGCCTCCTTGTCCGCCTGCTTCTGTGCAACAGTTGCCCTCTTTTTTGCTTCGACATCACGCTTCTTCTTCTCATTGAGAAGGGCATCGTTCATCGCCTTGTGGCTGAGCATCAACTTCTCCATACTGGAAGTCAAATCCGCAAGGGTGTCATCGGATGACCCCGCGACCTGCTCCTGCCAGTTTCCCGACAGCAACAACTGAAGACCAACATCCACCTCTTCCTCTGACTCGGGCGTTTGCTCTTGCGCAGGTACATGCATCTGTTCATCCACTTCATCGTGGGGTGGCTCACGGTAACCACCAGTTGATGCCTTTGCCTTCGGGTTGGACTTCGGCGCCATCTTATGACAAGGAGGACGGAAGCGTGAGGAATGGACACTACCAGAAACAACAGCCAAATGCTTCAAACACTGTTTTGATATCTGACAGTCGTCAATGTGCTGTCAACCTCACGACATGAATGATACATGAGAAGAATGCGCAACTGAAAAAAACCTTGAAATCGACCAACGCCCCAGAACTTGATAACTACTAAAAGGGCTACCTCTTTCAAATGAAAAAAATGTTTGCCCCTAGCCCAACAATGAACAAGGCGACAATTTACCCAAATGATTACCTTAACGAAAACGATAAATAAGCTCCCTAAAAACCCTCTTTTAAAAACGAATAAGGGGGAACACAGATTTGAGATGAACATAAAAACCATAACAGGCAACCCTCAACAGGCCACCCCCCAGGCCCCCTACTTTTACCATTTTTTCCCCCACCCCCACCCCCACCCGCACCCCTCCCCACCCCACCCCACCCCACCACACCACACCACACTACACCACACCACACCACACCACACCGCACCGCACCACACCACACCGCACCACACCACACCACACCGCACGACACGACACGACACCACACCACACCGCACCGCACCACACATAACACACAGCACACAACACACAACACACAACACACAACACAACACACAACACACAACACACAACACACAACACACAACACACAACACGCAACACAGAACACAGAACACAGAACACAGAACACGCAACATAGAACACAGAACACACAACACAGAACACAGAACACAGAACACACCACACAGAACACACAACACAGAACACAGAACACACAACACAGAACACAGAACACACAACACGCAACACACAGCACACAACACACAACACGCAACACACAACACAGAACACAGAACACAGAACACAGAACACACAACACACAACACACAACACACAACACAGAACACAGAACACAGAACACACAACACACAACACACAACACACAACACACAACACACAACACACAACACACAACACACACAACACACAACACACAACACACAACACACAACACACAACACAACACACAACACACACACAACACACAACACACAACACACAACACACAACACACAACGCACAACACACAACGCACAACACACAACACACAACACACAACACACAACACACAACACAACACACAACACACAACACACAACACACAACACACACAACACACAACACACAACACACAACACACAACACACAACACACAACACGCAACACAACACACAACGCACAACACACAACACACAACACAACGCACAACGCGCAACACACAACGCGCAACGCGCAACGCGCAACGCGCAACGCGCAACGCACAACGCGCAACGCACAACACACAACGCACAACGCGCAACGCACAACGCGCAACGCGCAACGAGCAACGCGCAACGCGCAACGAGCAACACATAACGCGCAACGCGCAACGCGCAACGCACAACGCTCAACGCACAACGCGCAACGCTCAAGGCACAGCGCACACCGCACAACGCACAACGCGCAACGCACAACGCACCTTGCGCAACGCGCAACGCGCAACGCGCAACGCGCAACGCGCAACGCACAACGCACAACGCCCAACGCGCAACGCCCAACGCGCAACGCACAACGCGCAACGCGCAACGCGCAACGCGCAAAGCGCAGCGCGCAACGCGCAACGCGCAACGCGCAACGCGCAACGCGCAACCCGCAACCCGCAACCCGCAACACACAACACACAACACGCAACGCAGAACACACAACACACAACACACAACACACAACACACAACACGCAACACGCAACACGCAACACACAACACACAACACACAACACACAACACACAACACACAACACACAACACACAACACACAACACGCAACACACAACACACAACACACAACACACAACACACAACACGCAACACACAACACACAACACACAACACGCAACACGCAACACACAACACACAACACACAACACACAACACACAACACAGAACACAGAACACAGAACACAGAACACACAACACGCAACACACAACACACAACACACAACACGCAACACACAACACACAACACACACAACACAGAACACAGAACACACAACACACAACACACAACACACAACACACAACACACAACACACAACACACACAACACACACACACAACACAACACACACACACAACACACAACGCAACACACACAACACAACACACAACACAACACACGCAACACAACACACACAACACACAACACACACAACACAACACACACAACACAACACACACACAACACACAACACAACACACACAACACACAACACACAACACACAACACACAACACAACACACAACACACAACACACAACACACAACACACAACACACAACACACAACACACAACACACAACACACAACACACACAACACAACACACAACACACAACACACACACACACACACACACACACACAACACACACACACACACAACACACAACACACAACACACAACACACAACACACAACACACAACACACAACACACAACACACAACACACAACACACAACACACAACACACAACACACACACACAGAACACACAACACACAACACACAACACACAACACACAACACACAACACACAACACACAGAACACAGAACACAGAACACAGAACACAGAACACAGAACACACAACACACAACACACACCACACAACACACAACACGCAACACACAACACACAACACACAACACACAACACACAACACAGAACACACAACACAACACACAACACACAACACACAACACACAACACACAACACACACCACACAACACACCACACACCACACAACACACACAACACATACACACAACACACACACCACACACACACCACAAACACACACACACACACGCACACACACCACACGCCACCACACACAACCACACGCACACACCAAGAAAGGTACATGGGCGTGCGAACGGGCAAGCCCGAGCGCCCACACGCAGGCGCCTGCGCACTCACAGGGACATGTCAGGGCGCAGTTGCGTGCGCATGCTCTGGCTTGCGCGCAAAATGGTCACACGCACACACACACACACGTATATGCACTTACAAGTTTCGTATTGCTCGCAAACCTGATGGGTTCCGGCCAGATTGATCATAGCAATCTGCGGAATTTGCTACAGACCGTTTGTTTCAAAGGGGCCATTTCGAGACGAAGGACATGGCGAGTGGCTAACGGGTTTTTCAGATGGTTGGTAGGCGCACAGCACTTTGGCGATTGCCCTGAATCGCCTTGGCGGCTTCTCCAACACCGGGGAGGGTGGAGAGGATCCTGCGAGGCGGGCCAAGTGGGGAGGCGGGAGGTTCGGCAAGGGCCCCCTTAACCTGAAGGCAGCAAGCAAAGCAGACACGTGCTTGCAAAGCTTACAGATACTTCTAAACGCTTCATGCTGCCCGCCTCGGCCAGCTTCATACGCATTGTGTTAATTTGGAAGTTTGTGTTTTTCTAGAGGTTTCAAAGCGGGCAATTCGAATCTAGTTCTGGCCACCGCAGTTGTGGGCAGAACAATTGTAGGTTAGAAGAACCTTCTTAGTGCGCGCCACGCTGATGCGCGACCTTGTGCTAATTTGTATATTCGGCGATCCCATAAGATTTGAGACCGACAATGTCTCAAAACCATGGTCGGCGTGCGCTGCGCAGCTGCAAGCTTTGTGGCCCAAGCGGGCGCAGAGGTTTGCTGCAACGCGTGCGACCCTTTGAGCAGAAGCGAAGGAGAAAGGGAAAGCGCCAAGCCGGCTGCCAAAACCATGCGTAAAAAAGAAAGAGGTAGTCGCGCAAGGCCAGGCTGTTGAACACTGGTAAGGCCCCAAGGAGCGGGTGTGGTGGGGTGTGGGGGTTTGGGTTTGTGCCAAATTGAACTTGAGCGTGAAGCTCAACATCCTGCCCGAGTCCGGTTGCAGAGGGTCTCAATCCTTCTGGTAGCCCTGAGGGCTTTTTCAGACCAAACCCAATATTGCGCAGATGGATTGGTGAGACTATGCGCTTTTCTGACGCGCTGCCGCAAGGTCTTTTCACTGCAAGCGCGCATGGCTAAGCGCGAAAAGTAAAGATGAAAGGTTGAGCCAAAGCCGGTAGATTGTATGAAGGTTCACAGCGTCAAAACAGACACAAACCATACACAAACTTCTTCGCACCTTCAACATCGAATTGTGCCATAGCCGTGTTTCATATGTGTGCAGGCCGTTGAGAGTTAGATTGATTTCGATTCGTTGATTCGTGTCAAAAAGGTCATCTGCTCCTTTGTGACACGGACTTGTTGATTCATCATGTATTTACAAATGATTGCGCAGCTGTGCTGCAAATTGGGACTTCACGCAAAAGTGGTACCTAGTTAGTTGTACCTGAAACGGATGCACCCTTGAGAGTGTGATGCTTGACATGGAAAAGAAGGACAGGATTGTCCTCTGTGCAGCGATCGACTTTCTCACGTCAGAATAGGGGATGAGGTTGATGTCGCGATCGCAATTGTCTTGTGGAAGATGAGTTTTATGAGATTTGGTCTGAGGGAACGTTGATTGGTCGTTGATGCCGTTGTGCGTGTTGGAGCTGCGAATTTGGTTCGCAAATGCCTGTCGTTGATCTAACGCCAAGTCTTCTGGTATCCCTTGTAGCTGCTCTCGGATGCTGTGTAGTCGCGCGGGGATTGGCTGTAGTTCTTCCATCGGCCGAAGTCACTGACCTTGTTGGCTTCGGGCTTCGGGTGTAGAATGTCAAGGGTGCGTGCCAGGCCAGGCCGAATGTCCGTTCACGAGCATCTCGTTGGTGGTGGACACCTGATGATCGGCAATGACGAAGCCACGGTCATGCTTGAAAAGATCTCTCTTTTCTTCAGGCATGTTGCGTGCTTCTTCCATGCGATTGCTGATCTTTTGTCGTTCCCCGTCCGAAAACGAAGATCGCCGTGCAATTAGGAGGGTCCTGTCAAAATCGCATCCTCTCTTGGTGTGGAGGACATGTCGGATGACATTCTGGATGTTTGCTGATGTGTCCATGGCGACGTCCTACCTGTCGGTGGGCTTCATGAGACCGAATTGGTTCCACGCATCCTGCGCGACCTGTGCTGCAGTGAAATACCTGCTGGAATTTGCTGATGTGTTGACGGCTTTGTTACCGTCTCCAGCAATTGCATCGCACCGATATTTCATGACAAATGGAAGTGCATGCTTCCGCAAGTCTCTCAACGGCTCGATAACTCATGGACGGATGCGGGTGGAGTACCCCAATCGTTGCAAATGGCAATCCAGCTCGGTGGACATGGTGTTCTAGGAAAAGGTCTCATCCGTGAGTGCCGTCCCTTCTCCGGTGATCTTGATGTTGTAGCTGTTGCGTGATGATCGTTGCACTTCTCCCTGACGGAATGTTGTTCAGAAGTGCGGATGCGGATGGTTCGTCATTGACTATGACGTCATTGACGCATGTCATGTGAGCGTGCTGACGGCCTTAGCCATGCAAACTTCAACACATTGTCCAGGATCTGATACAGCTCGCGTGGGTCATGAAGGTCATGTTCTTCTCTTTCTTCAAAGGATCCACCTTGCGATCTTTCTTGCTGGCACCAAGCGCTGGTCGTCGAAGCCTGGATTTGGACTCGGGCTGAGGAGGTGCGGGTCATGCTCCTTCCAGTCGTCGCTGTCACGGCTGTGTCCCTTCTGTTATCTTCCGCATGGCAGATCATCGCCTTGCCTTCTTGATGGGATCTGTCTCACTTCTTGTGCGATTGGCCGCCATTGACCGACTTGTCTGCAACACATCGGATGTGCAGCCCCATCTTGGTGTCCGGGTGTTTCTGACCGTCGGGCCGAAGGGCCGATCAAGTGGCAATGAGCTGATCCAGCCACGGGCAGGTGCCTTTCTGCATGTTGACATTGCGTTGCGTAGCTTCCGTCAGTCGACGGGGTGGGAACACAAACGCCAATCTCAAATCTTGTCTGCTTTCCATCTGCTCGGCCGTCTCGCGTGCGGCGAAGCCGCTCACACGTTCCACCCTCCAAAAGCTCAGATCGCCAAGCGGCTGGTTGCGCAAGGATGCGACGTTGGTGATAGTCTTGTTCGTGTCGAGCGTGTGGTTGCGGCGTAGAAAGCACGCTCAATGCGTCTTGGTTGTCATCGATTTGTAGCACATGCTGTAGAGTCGATGGATGTATGTCATGTAGGACGCGGACTGAGAGTTGCAATCGCGCTTGATGCTTCGGCGCTCCAGATGCACGGCCTCTTTCCTGAGTCGCGCTCTTGTGCGGGGTGTACTCAGGCGCAAGGCCCAACTGACAGGCTGTCGGTCCGTTGTCAAGGACTGCGTAGGTTGTGTGGACCGTCGGTGTGTGATGTTGGAATGCGTCATGACTTGCCACCAGCGCCATATGATTCTCGCCTGGTGTCGTGAGATGAGTGTTAGCCTGTCCTCCCAATCTTTGTCACTCGTGAAGGCTGCGAGAGGTCAGCAGCAGCCTGCTGGATGGCGGGTTGCTCCTTTGTTTTCTTTGCAACGGTGGCGAATGTCTTGGACTTGCCTTTATCCTTTCCATCGTTTCCTTTATCATTGTCATAGGCTGGAGAACCGTTGTTTCCATTGAAAGGATACTTCCTTTCCTGCCTTTGCCTTTTCCCCAATATGCCTCGTCGTAGGGATCCTCGTATTCGTTGTCCACGCAGGCCCTGCCGTTGGCGGTGCTCTTTCTGACCGCCCTTTTTGCTTCTTGACTTTGTTCCTTTTCCAAAGCTCAGACTCCGCCCTAACACCTTTCTGGCACTGAACGCGTCATTTTCCTCGAGGCCCCAGAATGTCTCTTCATCTTCTTCTGCGATAAATCCTTTTTCAACCAGAAACCTTCTTCGCCTCCTGGAGGTCTGATGGACGGATCTTGAGTGGACGTATTTGTTGCGACAAAGAGATCGTGATACTGTGTTTCCATCTCGCATTCGTATTCCCGAAAGCATGGCCGCTGGGTTCACTTGAGTTGCGTTGTTGCAAGGAATCATCATCCTGAAAGTCATTGCAAGGAGTCATTGCAAGGACGAGCGTCTCTCTGTACATGTTAGAACCGGCTGCCTGTTTAAAACCAGGAAGGAGAATGATGCCGGGGCTGGCCAAGCAGTCTGGCAGGCAGCGCAAAGTGGCCAGGAACGTAAAACTCAGGCGGGCTGTGGGCAGCCACGCAATTCTCCTTTCTTCTTTGAAAGAGGCGAGGTTCCTGCTGCAACGACTCTCTCTCTCATGAGCTAGCAAGAGGTTGACGCGTCGCTTCCCGCGACCTTTGTCATGCTTACCTTGATGAGTCTTTCGAGCGAAATGATCTCTTGCCCTTGAGCCAAATGCCTCCGGTCTTCTTTCCAGTAGAACAATTTATCTCCCGCCTGAAGAGGTTGGCAGCTCGTTGTGCGCAAGATCTCTCCTGATGTCTTCCAACTGACGGCAAGTTCCTGTTTTGACTGACAACTGCTTGATCTGGATCGCTGCCATTTCTTCAGCGGTCTTATCAGTTGTCTGTTGTGTCGGCGTCGCAAGATCTACTTGGATGAGATCTGCTGGCCGTCTGATTTCTGATTCGCAGCTTCCTTCGCAAGTTGCGGATGCGTGTGCGACCTTCTTGAGTGAAGCATGCTGTTCCTGCTCTGACGAAATTCAGCATGATCTTGAGTTACTGCTTCAATAGGCGGACTGCTGCTTCAGCTCGGTTCGGTCAGGGGTGTTCGGGCCCCGCCAAGATCGGTGTGATGTCGAGGGACTGATAGAAGCGCTCTCACCCATCGGTCTCCAACAACTATGTGGGCTGCAAGCGGCGCGGGTCGAAGTAGCTCCTGCGACGGTTGTCTTCTCTAATTCCCTTGTGCTGCGGTGTTGCTCCATCCGGAATGACCAGGACTATCGACCTGTTCTCCAGTTCCGAGAGGATTCTGATTGTGATCAATGAACGTCATGTCGCCAAATGTGTCTGATCGAAGCCCACTTGTCTCGCTTCAAGCTTGAAGTCGGAGGTGGTCTGCGCTCCTATGATGCTGGAGGTGGAGTTTCTTCAACTCTTCTGCTCATCAATTGGTGCTGCGAGATTACCCCATTTGCTGCCGGTGCTGAGGAGCCTTTTCTTCATCTTTTATCGACTTGTCTGCGAATGTGAAGATGGTCTTTCCTCGTGTCCTGTTTGGTTACTGATAACTTTGATGCGCGCACAGCTTTCTGTTGCCGCGGGTTCTGCAGGCAGAAGCTTGATGCTTGATGCTGACATCATTGAGGCCTTTCGCAGGAATTGTCGTGTTTGTCCAACTCTGACAAGTGTCGGTACA